ACCTTCCACGTCCGTGGCTCTTCGGCCGTGACAGTCGCGAGGGAGGACGGGGCGCCGCGGAGTCAGTCAGGCAGCCGGAGGAGCCGCCCGAGCTTGCAGCTGCGTCGGAGTCCGGCTCGTTCCCTGGCCTGAAGAGCGCCGCTTTGCCGCTGGGCAAAGCCAAGACCGAACCCGGCGCCTGCTCGTCCCCCGCCTCAAATCCTGCACAGGGGGCTCCATGCTCCGCGTTAGTTCAGGGCGCAAACTCCGCGGCGGGCAGCCCGTCGGTCTGCAGCTGCGAGGCCGTCCCTGCGGCTGAAGAGCTGGATGCGGCATTGCTGGAAAGGTGCTAGTAGGGAAGGGTGAGAAGGTGGCTGTCCAGCTGCGCTTCCTGACCTCCTGTGTTTTTAAACGGCGGTCTGGTTCTGTACTATCGCTCATCGCCGTGATATAGAAGCACCATTTGAAAACGTCTGTCAATGCCGGACAGATTCTCCTCCCTCAGTGCCATACATTCATACCCGCCTGGAGCAGCCAACACCCACGGCCTTGCCACCCATCTGCATGGGTGCCCACCCAGGGGACCTTTTCTAAAACATGCTGGGGTGGCCCCGGGCAGCAACCCTGAATGGGAACCTGGGCCAATGGACACGAGTGTCAAGCCATCTGTTGCAACTCGTTCAGCCCCGGGCAAAGGAGAAAACCCGCTTGAATTGTTGCACCAAACCGAAGGCGAAAGAGAAGAGGAGTTCTCTCCAGGGAGGAACTGACTCAAGCACCATTAAAAACTGGATTGTAATGCAGAAAAGGGTCAGGCAGAGTCTCTCCTGGCCTTGAGGTTTCTTTGAACAGGCCCTGCAATCCAAATTTCATGCGCAGGAGTGTCAGCCTTCCCCCTCTGCTTAGGGCGCCCAAGTCCCTCACAGGAGAAGTCAGGAAGCCTTCTTTCCCCTCCCTCTCAGCTGGGAGCAAGTCCTTCACCTGGGCCAAGAGAGTCTCTGACCTCCCAGGGATCTGAAAAAGGACGGAGGATCAGAGGTTTCCAACTGATGTCTGAGACCCAGACCTGGCTACAGATTACAGGAGCAGCGGGGGCAAACTCGGGCCCCAAGCCTGGCAAGACTCCTTTCCTTCCTCTCTGCAGAGCCCTTGGGTGGCATTGCTGGGTGGGAGCAGGCAGGCTCTGGGCTGCGCATCTCTGGTGAGGGCCCCTCCCTCCCTCCCCAGGCCAGGGCCAGCAAGCCAGAACTGGAGGAATCCCAGGGGCTCTCGGTTCCCAATACAAGAACTCAAGTTTTACCATTTCCTTCCTTTCCTCAGGAGAGCAAGAAAAGCTGGATGCCGCCTTCCAGCAACAATTTGCCCAGGACGAGTTTGGGAATTCCGTGCAACCTTTTTATCGAGAGAGCCAACCAGTTTTGTTGCAGGGCTCACGGTTCCATTGGGGGTGAGGGAAAGGAGGGTCTTGGTCAGAACCGGCTATGGGCATGACATACTTTGTGGTTAGTGGTGGCCTCCTCACTGACTGTGGATTAGCATCTATATTTTTTGAAGTGACTTGTGACAAATTGCCGAGACACATTCACTCAACTGAGGGAGGTTCTGCAGCACTCAAGTTAGATAGTAAAAATGGTGATCCAGGCTTGTATATTGTGCAAACATCCGTGACGCTGTCGGGAAGGGAGAGGGTCAGCCTGCTTTCCAAAGAGGGTCTCCCCTTTTCAGTAAGAGGGAGGGGCTCTATACCGCAAGCCGGAGACGCTCAAAGAAGGCTGCTCAAACGACTGCCCTACTGCTGGTTTCTGAACCAAAGACAGAAGGCTTTTTCTGATGTTAAAAAGGATCTGTTAAGCGAAGGCTGCTTCTTTTACTGGTTCTCTGATCAAAATTAAAATTGGAGGCGGGGTGAAGAGAGAGAGGGCTCTTCGGGCCCCTTCTGGACTTGGAACCTCTCCGGAGCGAGACCCGGCAGCCCAAACACCCGGCAGCCCCCCAGCCCCATCTCATGCCCTCCGTGGCAGCAGCCAGCACCCAGCTCAGGGTAATGTCACCGGCAAGCTGGGCACACAAGACCCCGCTTTGCTTGCTCCAGGGGGGTCTTCCTCTTTCTCTTCCCAGCCGTCACCAAAAGGCACGTTCGGTAAGTGGAACAGAACAATGGCTTCACACGACCCAACCAGAGAATGGCTCCGGCTCCGGCTCCCGCCTGGCCTGCCCTGACCAGGCAAGGGGTTCACGGCTGCGGCCTCCCCCCGGAGCTCTTCGGAAGGGGGAGAGATGGTCGCGCAGCTCCCGTTACAAGTCCAGTCAAGGCACTGAGGCTGGCAGAGCGGGGCCCCTTGCAAGGCCAGGAACCACGTGCTGCGGCTAGGCCAGGAGTCCCAAGCGGGTCACTTTGGCTGACAGGAAGGTGTGCAGGACGAAGACCACCGGCTTGGGGCAGGAGTGCAGCTCCAGGGCCTGTGGAGGAGGAGCATGGGGGAGGGGGGGTCACCACCTGCTATTTCGAAGGTCAGCATCCATCCCTGGCCTGGGTGGGGCCAGACCCTGAAGCTCAAATGGCTTTCTGCGTTATGGCCATTTTTAAGGCACCGTTTCCTCGGCCCTCCCACTCTCCATCAGTTGCGACGGCAAAAAAGCAGTTCCTGCTTCATTCTTCAGTGGGACTGTGGGGACTCAGCTACACCCACTGGATGGAGAAGGCGCTCAGTGCAGAAAAGGCTCTTTGAGCAGCCCCCATGCAGGCAAAGCCCCCAGGCGATGGGTCTCCCACCCCGCCCCTCAGCCAGCCACTCACCAGCTCCCCCTCCGGGCCGCCGAAGTCCAAGTACAGGTTTCGGACCCCGTCATCGGCAGACATCTTCAGCTTCTCAAAAGGGTATCGGACAAGGATGCTGGTGGAGCCCGCCTCCTCCCTGGATACAGTGAAGCCGTTTTCGTAGTGGATCGCGAGCCGGACGTCCTGGCTGTTCCAGACGCAGCCTAGGCCGGAAGGACACAAAGCACGGCCCCCGTCAGAAGGGGAGAGCCACCACGTGGCATCAGCCGCGGCTCAGCCCTGATTTGCCCATCTCCAGCTTGGCTCTTCTGTCTTGGAGCTGCTCCCTGTCTTCCGCCCTCCAAGTCTAGGGTCCGGAAGGGCTGAGGCACCTGGGGAGGGCTGGCGTGGGGGGGGGGGTCTGGTTGCATCAACAGGTGGAGGATGGCGATCCCTGGGGTCTGCTCAAGAGCCAGCATGTTTCGCGATGCTGTGGCCAAAGCGGAGGTGCAGAACTCTTGGCTGCACAGGGATCCAGGGAGCCATTTCCCAGGGGACGGTGAGGGCAGACCGCCGGAACGCGAGCTGCCTCTGAAGCAAGGGGGCCCCGCTCTGGTCTGGAGCCCACAGTGCCGGGTCAGGGTCAGAGCCAGGGTGAGGGAGCGCCCTTCGCACGATCCGCCCCCGGGGTGGGCCTGCCTCCCCTGTGAAAGTCTGGCCCCGTGTGCCCTCAGCGCTGCTCAGCCCGGGCGACAGCCACGCGGAAGGAGCACGTTCTCTCTCCAACGGCAGCTCTCCTCTCATGAGCCAGCTGGGCCTTGCTCAGCCGCGCTGGGCTTCCAGCTCCCCACAGGCAGGGGCTCCCAGGCTCTGTCACTCTTGCTGGCAACAGTGCCAACCCTGCCACCTGGTAGGCATAATCTCTTTGCCCCGTTTGCTAGGCTGACCACCTGGGGCCTCCTCTTGGGGTTCAGGAGGGGGGGCGCCCGTAGCGTCCTTAGCCCGGGCAGGCAGGCCATACCTACGGAGACCTCCTTGATGAGCTCAGCAGCGGCGTGGCAGCCTTGCACCAGGGTCCGGGTCCAGGTGGAGAGGTCACGGTGGGTCTCCACACGGAAAACGTGCATCTCGATGCCCTGGCGAGAGCCTGTACGCGTGGCAAAGGTAAGGTCGGATCCCAGGCAGGGCGATCTGCAGCCTGAATGCACCAGCCTGAGTGGGGGGAGGAGGAGGGGGCTTGTTGAAAAAGGGGAAGGGAGCAGCAGTGGGGAACTGGGGGTGACTTGCTCTGAACAGCTGAGCCAGCCCTCCCAGAGGGGCTGCAGAAACGCTCCCTCCTCTCCCTCAGGAACACACCCACTGCCCCAAAGCGCTCCCTTCTCCCCAGAAAGCAGCAACTCAAAGATCAGGGCAGAATCCCACCGCTGCTGGGGGAGTGGACAGGCACAGAGCGGTGCCCATCAGCCGAAGAACTGTTGGGGCGGACTTTGGCCACTGGGGAAGCAACCTGACCGAACCCAGCTGCCTCCAGAGCCTCTGCCAGCCACCCCACCCCTCCCTCCGGGCTTCCTGCGCTAATCCCATGCAGCAAGAGCCATCTGGGGGGGCTGAAAGGTGACTGCCTCCGCCCTCCCCTCACTCTCCTGCTAGCAGGATGCAGCTCAGGCAGCCTCCTCCCTGTCCCCCCCCACCACAAAGGGCCAAGGGCTGCAGGCACAGCAGACCACAGTCCACAGACCCCGGGCAGCGCCGTTTCCTCTTCCCCTGGCCAAGTGCAAAGGCAGGAGCCAAACCACGAGGGAGGGCCCCAGCAGTGCCCTTGCCTTTTTGGCAGCCCCATTGCGAAGGTTCGCTTTGAAGCCAGCCCTGCGGGGGGCTGGCAAAGGAGGTAGCCAGGGTGCCCCACAAGAGCTCCCCTGCCCTGATAGCCTGAGTTGGCCGGGGCACCCTTGGCTTGCGGCCCAAGCAGCGCAGCACCTTCCAGCTGATTCCTGCCCTGGAGGCTTCCAAGCTGCGGGCAGAGGCAGCTGCCAGTCGCTCTCCACGTGATGCGCTGGCACACGGGGAAGCAGCTGCCTCCTGGGTTTCCTGGCAGGAGGCCATTCTGGGACCTTGCCCGTTTCCAGAAAAAGGGTTCCAAAATAAAGGCAGGGAAAATTTTTCTGGGCGAGTCCTGCAGGAGCCCACAGGCAATGGGCAGGGTGCCTCACCCCAGAAGGCAAGTCTGACCTGCGGCTTCATAAGAACAGAAGCTATGCCCTACTGGGTTGGACCCCCAGCCCATCAGGTCCCCCAGGGCCTGCCACCTGTGCCCGGAAGCCCACCGCTCTCCCAGGAGACAGGCTCCAGAGGCGGTCCTGCTGCCACCAAGGCTAACGGCCGCCGACCCCCAGGACTTGCAGGTCTGGGGTGCTTGTTCCCCCTCCCCTTCTCAGAAGGCTTGGTGTCCTCTCCCTCCAGATTCCCCCCACCTGGTGGCCACGAGCGGGTAGCTGTGGCAGGGGGAGGCCCAAGCGTCCCTCGTCCAGGGCATGGAGTCAAACAGCAGCAGGTCCTTCTCCGTCACGGCTAAGAGGACCGGCCGCCATTGCTGCCGCCCGCCATCCAGCTTGGCCTGGAGGAGAAAAGAGTAGACTGAGATGGAGGAGAGGGGAGGGGACCCCCTCATGGCTAGTGAGACGCCATGCAGGGAGGGGCTGGCCAGGCACAGGGCAGGAGAGAAGGCAGGTGATATTGCCCATGCTTCCCCCCCACACACTTGTGGGAGAGCTGCCTACAGAGAAGGAGCAGGGGCAACTTCAGATAAGGGGAGCCCCCGCTAAGGGAGAGGGCCACGACTTCTGGCCGAAGAAGCCCCTCGCTTCAGCAGCCTCCCAGCAGGGTCGCCTCCCTCCCGTGGGCTCCCAGCCCGTCAGTCAGCCAGGGAAAGCCAGCCCCTCTGAGGGGGCAAGGCGCCCAGGGCCGAGGGGCGTCCCCCAGGGGCTCACCTGCTCTGCCAGCCAGGCAATCTGCTTGACCTCCTTGCTGCCGCCCGGCGCGTGGCTGGCCCCCAGCACGGCATTGAGCTCGGCCAGGACCTGCGGGAGGAGGGCCATGATATTGGTGTGGATCGCCATGAACCACGAATGCGCTGTGGCCGTATCCTTGCAGCGAAGGATCAGGGTGTTCCGGCTGTCGGGCGAATGCAGCTCAATCAGCCTGCAGAGAGAGGCGCAGAGGCAGAGCTGCTGAGGAGAGGCCGCGAAGCCTGCCTTTCCGGGTCCCTGTTTGGCCCCTCCTGCTCTTCTCGGGGGACCCCGAGTGTGCCCCTGCTCCCCGGCGGTGATGCTGCAGGCGGGGGCAGCAGCAGCCACCCCTGCCCAACTCTCCCCGGCCCCGGCTCAGGACAGCTGGAAGGGCCACCGACCCAGGAGAGGTGGCACGCAGCGAACTGCTCTGCCAGCGGCCAAGGCTGCAAAAGCTGCCTGGTTCCACGGTGCGGGGGGCTGGCGGGGGTCTCCCCTCCACCCTGAGAAGCAGCCATGTTGGCTGAAACACGACACTGCACGGAGCACAGGAAGCAGGGATGAACTGGCACTGACTCTGTGGCCTGCTTGCGTCCCTGTGGCTCAGGCCCAAAACCCGTCTCCCCCCACCCCACCCGGGGATTAGGGCTGCATCCTGTGGACGCCCAAAGCAAACACTGCTGCGTTCCCAGCGGAGACAAGTCAGGACAGATAAACAGCCCTGCGACGCTCGCGCTCCCTCCCTGCGCCCCCCGTCTTCTCTGGACAGTCCCCCCCCCCGGAATTCCCCTTCCGGCAGCCCTTGGGCCATCCCCCACGGCCGAGGGGTGCCGCCTCCCGTCCTGGGACCCCTGAGGGGGCGGCCGCTCCTGCG